TAGGCTCCAAATAGGCTACCTTCTAGTCTGGCATAGACTGTACTTTTCCTAATAAATGTCCAGCATGTGGTTATGGTCTTTATGATACTTCCTAGTGAATGTTACCTTGATTAACTTCCACCATCTTGGTGTGATTGCAATCCGGGGAAAAGATCACCTCTAGTCATCCGGGATTATAAATTGGTGGTATCAAATGTATCCTTGGTCTTGGCATGATTTGACCTGGGTTCGAAACTCAAAGCCATATAATCCGATTCCACAGGGCAGAGTTTTCAGCGTTTACTCTGTTCTTATCAGACTTATCTGCGAGTTAGAACTTGTCTCTGGCTTATTTGATGGTTTCGCATTTCGGTCTACCGATTTGGTATCAAGGTGCTGTTACCGAATCAAAAGAGACCATCCCATTTGCGAGGTTGTAAATAGTCATAATGTTTTTGCAGCTCGGAAGTTACGCGTCAGGGCTCTAGTGGTCAATGCATTAGATAGCTTGTACATGGACCGGTGGAATCATTTACGAAATATTACTCACTTGAGTGTAATTAAGGAACCCAAAGGGGTGGTAGTGAGTCCTTTAACAGTTCACCCAGTAGTTGCAAAGTACCACAGTTAAAAAAAGCCGTCGTAGCAGGTGTTCAAGCTTAAATAGCTATTCCTAGAGTCAAGTCCATGGGTAATTATAGACTAATCTATGTATAAGCCTATTGACTAGACATAGGACTAGTTTACGGACTATACAATTGAGAAATTTTAGAACTAAACTGACTACTTACCAAATCTCTGATATTTATATCCATTACAAAAGACTAGTTTATGAGCTAGACTAGTCTACGGACTATTCCATTGCCATCCCTGATATATATCAAAACCTTTAAGCTTTTCCACTTCTCAAAAATTCACTATCAACAAAAATCTTACATAAAACATAGCTTCATTTCAAATTAGAGCTTTTTAACTTACAAGTTGTTAACACTGCTAAAACATAATGAAAAGAGAAGGGAAAGAGATCTCAAAAAAAAAAGAAAGTTACTTTTTTATTAAAGCTTTAAAAAAAGAAAAGCTTGAATACTTTACATTTACTAAACTAAAGTGAAGTTTTAAAAAGCAAAACAACTTTTTTTATATTTTTTTCATAAAAAGCACAAACTTTATGGAAAATGTTGAGAAAAATGCAACATTGTGCGATGAAAGTGTGTGAGTGTTGTAAAATTTATGAAACAGTATGAGGGAAAAATCAAAGAAAAAGTACAGCTCCAGCAAAAAATAAGTTTTTTCTTTACAATTAAAAGAAAATTTTAAAATTTCCTTTATAATTATTAAATTTAAAATTTTGTTAGAAATTTTAAGAAAATTAGTCTTTTTTTTTAATTTACATAAAACTTTGTTGATTTTAAGGCTGTTTAATGAAAAAGTTTAAATTTCCTTTTAAATTTTCTAAGTATTTTTGTTGTTGTTTTTATTTTCTTTACTACTCACTCACTTACATATTTAAAAGCAGAAGCTGCTGCAGAACGAGAACGAATAAATAGCAACGGAAAAAAGCACGTTTAGCCGCACAAAAACTTTCGTGACTTTCGAGTGTTGCACGACGTTGCTTGAAACTGTAGAGAAAAAAAGTTTTCTATAACTACAAGAGCTTCGCTATGACTTCACATAAAAATTTTATGTGAAGCCCAACAAAAAACCAGCAAGAAAAATCACAACAACAAACAGGAAAAAAAAAACACATTTATAACAACATGAGCAACATTAAAAACTAAAGAAAATTTCCTTTTCAACTTGTTTATTCTCTATTAAAATCTTTTTCTCTTTACTCTTTCATAATAATAATATTGTTTTGTTTTCCCACCATTTTGCTCTTTAGTAAGAATTAAGCTCTTAAAATTTACTTAATTTATTACTCTTTGTTTTTGTTGTGAAAAATAACACAGTTGCATTTTAGTTTTCTCTTTAATTTATATGGGAATAGAACTGCATTTCATTTAGTTTATTTATATTTGTTTTGTTTCTGTTTTTCTTCTTCATTTTTTTATTCACTTGCATACTAGTTGTAGTTATTGTTGTTATTATTGCTGCTGCTACTAAGGAGTATGTGTGTCATTATGTGTTGTTGAATTTATTTAGTTGTTTGTATGTTTTAGTGCGCGTGCATTGCATTTTATGCAAAAAAAAAAACAACAACTTATAAAATAGCAACAACCATATGCACACATTTTTGTTACTATATGGCATACAAACAAACATACATGCATGCATGCAAGCAGCAGGCAGCCAGGCAAAGGCATGTTTACATTTTATATTGTAGTGAGTGCATTTTTAGGAGAATTACTAAATTTACCGTTTTGTTCTTAATTTTATGGTCAATATTTTTTTTGTGTAGTTTGTTTTGCTCTTGGTGTTGTAGTTGCCGTTGTTGTTGTTGTTGGTTTTTGCATTCGTTTGAAAAATCTCAAGGTAACAACAACTCGTAGTGTATATTGTATTGAAATTTCTTGTTATTGCTTGTTGTTGTTGTTGGTTTTGTTTTTCATGTTCATTAGGGTGATCTATTTTTATAAACCTCCATTAAAAATATATTGCAAATATGTATGCACATACGGTGGAGGTAACTCCACAGGCTAGTTAATAGAATAGTCCATAGTCCATAGCCTAGTCAATAGAGTAGTCCATAGATTAGTCAATAGACTAAACCATAGACCAGTAAATAGAGAAGTCCATAGATTAGTCAATAGACTGGTTCATAGACTAGCCCATAGACTAGTTAATATAGTACTCCATAGACTGGTTCATAGACTAGTCAATAGGCTAGTTCATAGACTATTCCGTAGACTAGTGCAAAGTCTAGTCAATAGATTTATCCCTTAGAATGCCAATAGACTAGACCATTGACTAGTCAATAGACTACCCAAGAAATTAGTTCATAGACTAGTCCATGGTCTTTTCCATAGACTTATCCATGGGTAATCATTAGACTAGTCCATAGACTTGTCCATAGACTTGACCATAGCCTAGTTAATAAAGTAGTCCATAGACTAGACAATATATTGGTTCATAGACTAGTCAGTAGGCTAGTTCATAGACTAGTCCATAGACTTGTAAATAGAGTACCTAATCAATAGACTAGTCCATATACTAGTAAATGGTGTAGTCCATAGATTAGGCAATAATAGACTGGTTTATAGACTAGTTAGTCCGTAGACTAGTCAATAGGCTTGTCCATAGAATAGTCAATGGGCTAGTCCATAAACTAGTCAATAAACTTGTCAATAGACTAGTGCATAGACTAGTGCATAGACTAGTCAATCGACTAGTGCATAGACTAGTCAATAGACTAGTGTATAGACTAGTCATTAGACTAGTGCATAGACTAGTCAAAAGACTAGTCAATAGAAATAGTCCATAGACTAGTCAATAGACTAGTCAATCGACTAGTGCATAGACTAGTCAAAAGACTAGTCAATACAATAGTCCATAGACTAGTCAATCGACTAGTGCATAGACTAGTCATTAGACTAGTGCATAGACTAGTCAATAGAATAGTCCATAGACTAGTCAATAGACATATCCATAGACTAGTCGACAGACTACATCATAGAATTATCCATGGGCTAGTCAACAGACTAGTAAATAGACTTGTCCATAGCTTAGCCAATAAGCCAGACAATAGACTGGTTTATAGACCAGTCAGTAGGCTAGTTCATAGACTAGTCCATCGACTATTCAATAGAGTAGTCCATAGACTAGGCCCTAGATTAGTCAATAGTCTGGTACATAGACTAATCAGTAGGCTAGTTCATAGATTTGTCAATAGACTAATCCATAGACTAGTCAATAGACCAGCCCATAGACTATTCATTAGGCAGTCCATAGACTTGTCCTTAGACTAGTTCTTAGACCAGTCCTTAGACTAGTTAATAGACTAGTCAATAGACTAGTGCATAGACTAGTCCATAGACTGGTCAGTAGACTAGTCAATAGACTAGTCATTAGACTAGTCCATAAAATAGTCATTAAACTAGTCAATAGACAAGTCCATAGAATAGTCATTAGACTAGTCCATAGGCCATTCAATAGACTAAAAAACTTTGACTTAAAACTTTTTGGTCCCCAATAAAATCCATAAAAGTTATCGCCTTAATTTCCAATATGTTGTAGTTATAATGTTTTTGTTGTTGCTATGATTCTATCAGTCAATATCATTTTGTTTTTGTTGTCAACTTTTTGACTTTGCTTTAGCAAGGATGCATTAGTTGTAGTTACTTTATGGGTTCCAGATTAGAAGGATTTAAATTTATTGCAATTAAAGAATTAATTCATATTCCTTCATCGACTTCTAGAACTAGGAAGGCCCATCTTGCAATGGTCTGATGTTTCGCAAATAAGACATTTTCAGAATAGGACATAGACAACTCAATATGTACTTTTATAGTACGGTCTATGTTTTCCAATATAAATAACTAAACCATTTGGGTATCTTCGGTCTTTCTCTCTTTGTCTCCGATAGATTCTCACTTTAAGAGAATATATCGTTTCTAGTCACCGTTTCTTTTCTTTAGATTTGCCTGTAGTTTCCGTGATAAACTTCCTAATCTGTCCTATTGATTTTGTCTCTACTCCTCTTAGTTGCCTCTCATTCTGACTATGACATACATCGCGCTACCTGTCATACAGCACGCTACCTGTCTAAACCCAGAGTAAGGAACAATCTTCTCTTTTCTGAGAGACAGAAGAGAGCGGATCATCATTGATTTTGCATTAATTTAAATGTTAAGCTCTGAATTTTCCAAAAGTAGGTATTACTCGACAACTTGTCACCAAAATCCAGAACGTTAGAACTTTGAACTAAAACTCGGATAAAGGCGTAGTCCGAAGTAATTTCTTTGTACTTTCTCTTCTTACTCAAAGTATTAGAGCGAAAATATTTATTTACTAATAAACACTTAATAAAATCAATTAGATATTTAAATCATTAAAATATAATTAATAACAATAACAACAAAAAGAAATCGCTCTCTTAGACATAGGTCGCGACTGTAACTAACGCAAAGTACAATTGTACAACATCCCTGTTATACACACACATATACATTCCTTACTCTCAACAAAATGTCCTTAATCCTTTCGCTCTTTTATTGGCATTTTCTTAATTTCCCCTTGACACTGAAAAAACAACGTGAATTTCCAGATGTTTAGCATGTGTGTCTGTCTGCAACTGTGTGTGTGTGTGTGTATCTTGAAAACAATCTTAGAACAAAAATTTTTAAAACAGTATCGTGTTAACTGTTGAATACATCAATTTAAATTTGAAAAAATGTTAATATTAGAAAAGTAAAATTAATGCGGGAAAAATGTCTACGGTGAAAAAAGAGAGAAATAGTCGTGTTTCTAAAGCGTCCGCAGAAAGTAAGGAATACGTGGTGGAAAAAATTCTATCCCGACGCAAGCGCAATCGGAAAGTACAATACTATCTCAAGTGGAAAGGTTTTGATGATACCGAAAATAGCTGGGAATCAGCAGAAAACTTGAATTGTAAACATTTGATCAGCATATTTGAGGCGCAAAGAGCGAAAACAACTCTTAAGGTAAAAGTGAATATAGATTCTGAGAGAAGTTTGAGAACACGCAAAACATTGAATACACAAACAGTAGAAGCAACTAAACCAGTATTGGAAGAAAGTGAAACTGATAAAGAAAATTCGGAAGAAATCAAAGGCAGTTCAATAAAACCTTTAAAAACTAATACCGAAGAAGTAGCAACAAAAATCAATGAAGAAGAACAACCGAAACCCACAACAACAGTTGCTGTTGCAGCCTCCGTTATCGCAAAACCAACTAAAAATGCAAAAGTTTCCGAAAATACCTCAACAATTACAAATGAACCCAAAGAACCTGCAGCGAAAACTGTAACAACCTCTAAATCTTATGAACTTATCAATGGATCACTATTGGTTACAGATTTTCTAAACAGACCCTCCGTTCAAACTGGTTTTGATAAAAACCTTGAGGTGGAAAAAATCTTAGGAGCTACAAATTTTGAGAATCGTCTCTATTTAGTCGTAAAATTTCATGGTGATGATGAACCACAATTGATATTGAACACGGTGGTAAATCGAAAAATTCCTCAAATGGTGATAAAATTCTATGAAGACTCTTTGTCTTGGGATACGGACGATGAGCAAGGATAATTAATTGTTTTCGAAAGTTATGTTAAGTTAAAAGTTTTTAAAATCGTAAATTTGTTAAATTACAAAAACAATTTAATTAAATGTTTTATAAATAAAATAAGAATTATTTTAAAGAGGTTTTGTTTTGTATTAGCAATTTCTAGATTAGAATTAGTAAAATTTTTCTAAAATAAAGTTTTCAACTAGAAATGTTCACGGTTCAGTCCAGTTCTAGTTCAGTTCTAGTTCAGTTCTAGTTCAGTTCTAGTTCAGTTCTAGTTCAGTTCTAGTTCAGTTCTAGTTCAGTTCTAGTTCAGTTCTAGTTCAGTTCTAGTTCAGTTCTAGTTCAGTTCTAGTTCAGTTCTAGTTCAGTTCAGTTCTAGTTCAGTTCTAGTTCTAGTTCAGTTCTAGTTCAGTTCTAGTTCAGTTCTAGTTCAGTTCTAGTTCAGTTCTAGTTCTGTTCTGTTCTAGTTCTGTTATAATTTTCTAGTTATTTTCTAGTTCTGTTCTAGTTCTGTTCTAGTTCTGTTCTAGTTCTGTTCTAGTTCTGTTCTAGTTCTGTTCTAGTTCTGTTCTAGTTCTGTTCTAGTTCTGTTCTAGTTCTGTTCTAGTTCTGTTCTAGTTCTGTTCTAGTTCTGTTCTAGTTCTGTTCTGTTCTGTTCTGTTCTAGTTCTGTTCTAGTTCTAGTTCTGTTCTAGTTCTGTTCTGTTCTGTTCTGTTCTGTTCTGTTCTGTTCTAGTTCTGTTCTGTTCTGTTCTAGTTCTGTTCTAGTTCTGTTCTAGTTCTGTTCTAGTTCTGTTCTGTTCTAGTTCTGTTCTAGTTCTGTTCTAGTTCTGTTCTAGTTCTGTTCTAGTTCTGTTCTAGTTCAGTTCTAGTTCAGTTCTAGTCCAGTTCTAGTTCTGTTCTAGTTCTGTTCTAGTTCTGTTCTAGTCCTGTTCTAGTCCAGTTCTAGTTCAGTTCTAGTTCAGTTCTAGTTCAGTTCTAGTTCAGTTCTAGTTCAGTTCTAGTTCTGTTCTAGTTCAGTTCTAGTTCAGTTCTAGTTCAGTTCTAGTTCTGTTCTATTTCAGTTCTAGTTCAGTTCTAGTTCTGTTCTAGTTCAGTTCTAGTTCTGTTCTAGTTCAGTTCTAGTTCAGTTCTAATTCAGTTCTAGTTCAGTTCTAGTTCTGTTCTAGTTCTGTTCTAGTTCAGTTCTAGTTCAGTTCTAGTCCAGTTCTAGTTCTGTTCTAGTTCTGTTCTAGTTCTGTTCTAGTTCTGTTCTAGTTCTGTTCTAGTTCTGTTCTAGTTCTGTTCTAGTCCTGTTCTAGTCCAGTTCTAGTTCTGTTCTTGTCCAGTTTTTGTACTGTTCCAGTCCAGTTGTAGTTCATTTCTAGATCAGAAAAGTTCTTTGTCGAAATTAGAGTTGCAACTCCACATTTCATTATAAATTTGATGTTTTTTCTCGAAATATAAAAATGAATGGATTTTTTGAAAAATAATGCTTTTTTTCAATTACACAAATTTAGTAATTGATAATTTTGTTGTTGTTGTTATATTTTTGTTAATATGTACATATTTTCAAACTCACAATAATGTTTGTAGTTCAAAGTTAGAGAGAGATAAGAAATTCTAAATTACTTATTTGTTTAAAAGCAAAATCAACAACAGCAATAAAATACAGATAAAAGAAAATATGTACGTTGAACATAAAATATAGGGATGGTGAAAGTTTAACACCATTTAACTAACATTATTTTTCGAATATGATACAAAACAGCCAATTAGTTTCATTCGGAGAATAAAAGGTAACTGCCACTATTCGAAAAACAAGTAAGTTATGTGGTATTAACCTTTCAGCATCGCTATAAAAAGCCAAAACTTTATTGGAAAATTAACAGAAATGTATATGAATTTTAAAATGTACAATAGAAATATGTACACAGATACAAACATATGTACATACATGTGTGTATATTTTAATGAATTTATAAATATGTCTGAATATTCACTAGACATTCCACATCTTTCCAAACATTTTTCATTTGAACATACACATTTACATTAACAAATAATATCTGTGTGCTTCAGTTTGTATCTGTGTAAGTCTAATATGTAGAATTCTCTCTTTGGAATCAGTCTGTCGGTCTGCTTGTATGTTCATATGTATGTGTGTGTATGTGTATGAACTTGAATTTAACTTTAATTGATAAACTTGAATTTTTCAACTGTTTTCAACATTGTTGTTATGATATTTTTCATTTTTCTATACAACTTAATATTCCGCATTTTTATCAGTCAGCCATTTAGTCCGTCTGTCCGTCTCTCTTTTTGTGTTTATATATTTAATTATTTATTTTTGAAGTTTGTGATTAGATGTGACGAAATTATCATACCAAACCGGGACCCCTCAAATAAAAGAAGGGGCGGACATCAAAATATTATACATATATGTCTGAAAATGAACATGAATACTTTTCCATACTTAATGGTGATGTTTGTATGTATTTAAATATTTTGATTTCAAAACTTTAAATCATTTTGTTAATATGTTTAAATAATGTTTTAATACTTAATACTTTATTATTGTTGTTCAACAAATTAGCATGAATTTGTAAAATATGTGTTTATATGAGAAAAAAAAGTAATTTATTCAAATTTAATTATAGGATTTTAATACATAGCAATTTAGACAAAAATTTAAATTATACTAGATAAACGAAGTTTTTTTAATATTTAAATATGTAGTTATTTATAGATTTAAAAATAATTGAATAATTTTCTAAAATATAAAGTCTCATTTTGAAGAAGTCACTAAAGAAACCTTCTTTTGTAAGGGAAAAGTTAAGCGCTTATCATATAGACAGCAAGAGTACTGCTTACTCTCTGACTTACGGAAAACATGAATGAACTAGAATAGAACTGGAACAGAAAAACAACAGAGCTAGAACAGAACTAGAACAGAACTAGAACAGAACTAGAACAGAACTAGAACAGAACTAGAACAGAACAGAACTAGAACTGAACTAGAACAGAACTAGAACTGAACTAGAACTGAACTAGAACTGAACTAGAACTGAACTAGAACTGAACTAGAACTGAACTAAAACTGAACTAGAACTGAACTAGAACTGAACTAGAACTAGAACTGAACTAGAACTGAACTAGAACTGAACTAGAACTGAACTAGAACTGAACTAGAACTGAACTAGAACTGAACTAGAACTGAACTAGAACTGAACTAGAACTGAACTAGAACTGAACTAGAACTGAACTAGAACTGAACTAGAACTGAACTAGAACTGAACTAGAACTGAACTAGAACTGAACTAGAACTGAACTAGAACTGAACTAGAACTGAACTAGAACTGAACTAGAACTGAACTAGAACTGAACTAGAACTGAACTAGAACTGAACTAGAACTGAACTAGAACTGAACTAGAACTGAACTAGAACTGAACTAGAACTGAACTAGAACTGAACTAGAACTGAACTAGAACTGAACTAGAACTGAACTAGAACTGAACTAGAACTGACTAGAACTGAACTAGAACTGAACTAGAACTGAACTAGAACTGAACTAGAACTGAACTAGAACTGAACTAGAACTGAACTAGAACTGAACTAGAACTGAAACTAGAACTGAACTAGAAATGAACTAGAACTAGAACTAGAACTAGAACTGAACTAGAACTAGAACTGAACTAGAACTGAACTAGAACTGAACTAGAACTGAACTAGAACTGAACTAGAACTGAACTAGAACTGAACTAGAACTGAACTAGAACTGAACTAGAACTGAAACTAGAACAGAACTAGAACTGAACTAGAACATGAACTAGAACTGAACTAGAACTGAACTAGAACTGAACTAAGAACTAACTGAACTAGAACTGAACTAGAACTGAACTAGAACTGAACTAGAACTGAACTAGAACTGAACTAGAACTGAACTAGAACTGAACTAGAACTGAACTAGAACTGAACTAGAACTGAACTAGAACTGAACTAGAACTGAACTAGAACTGAACTAGAACTGAACTAGAACTGAACTAGAACTGAACTAGAACTGAACTGAACTAGAGCATAACTAGAACTGAACTAGAACTGAACTAGAACTGAACTAGAACTGAACTAGAACTGAACTAGAACTGAACTAGAACTGAACTAGAACTGAACTAGAACTGAACTAGAACTGAACTAGAACTGAACTAGAACTGAACTAGAACTGAACTAGAACTGAACTAGAACTGAACTAGAACTGAACTAGAACTGAACTAGAACTGAACTAGAACTGAACTAGAACTGAACTAGAACTGAACTAGAACTGAACTAGAACTGAACTAGAACTGAACTAGAACTGAACTAGAACTGAACTAGAACTGAACTAGAACTGAACTATAACTGAACTAGAACTGAACTAAGAACTGCTGAACTAGAGCATAACTAGAACTGAACTAGAACTGAACTAGAACTGAACTAGACTGAACTAGAACGGAACTAGAACTGAACTAGAAACTGAACCAGAACTGAACTAGAACTGAACTAGAACTGAACTAGAACTGAACTAGAACTGACTAGAACTGAAACTAGAACTGAACTAGAACTGAACTAGAACTGAAACTAGAACTGAACTAGAACTGAACTAGAACTGAACTAAAACTGAACTAGAACTGAACTAGAACCGTACTAGGACTTAAATTCATTTAACATATTTCTCAAATTAAAAATAAACCAAAAATTTAATCTGTTATCTCAAATCCCATAACAATACGATTTGTATATTCCCACATTTTTTCTTATCTAAAACTCAAACTGCAAAAAGAAACCACAAAAAGACCGGAAAATTCTCTTGAGTTTTAGATTGAAAATATATTTTAACGCTTAATCATTTTGAGAAAAAACAAGCATTTCATTATTTCATTGATAAAATAAAAATAACAAACCAAATTATAAACAATAGATAAATTTCAAGAACAATAAAAAAACAACAAAAGAAAAACATACCAACCTTTGACCAAATTAGTAAAGTAAACAAAACAAATGCTGCGTTTTATAAACGTCAAGTATTGCATAAACAGTTGTCAAAACAAGGATTTTCATAAAGCAGAGTTGTAT